CCTGGATCGATAAGCCATGTTGTTTAGGCAGCTGCCTCACAAACAGCTGAGCCAACCCTGCAGCAAGGGTAAAAATGAAAGAGACTGCAAGAATGACTACAACAGCCCTTGGGTAAAGCACAGTGGACTTAATGTTGACCTTTGGTGAGTTACACATCTCTTGCTTCAACTTCTCAGCTGTAACATGGGTATTTTCTCTCCCACACACCTCCTAGGAATGGTGCTACAAGGATGTGTGCACAATGCTATAAAGAATGCCACAAAAATTTGCAGAATGGGTACTTCTGCAGATCATGCAGAGCCCCTGAAGAACACGCAACGTTCCAGTTGCTCCATTAACAAAAGGATTGACCTCACACGATACTCTTGACATTTCATTCAAGGTATAACTGCAGTGCTACACACGAAAGAGTTCCATCATCTGCTTCCCCCCCCCCCTCTTTTTTTTTTAATAAACAAATAAATCAATAAATCATGAGAGGTATGGCAACCTCACTGAGGGAAAAAAGCAAATCTCATTGCTATGCCTTAACCTCTACACTACAGCCAGCTCGAAGGAGCTCTTCTGCAACTAGTAATTTCAGATATCATCATAAGATGCAACGCCTGCTGCTGCCACGTTATGCATATGCTTCCCTAGGACAAGCTAGATATTCTTATCAGCTCTGCATAGCAATTTCTCTACTAGATATTTTAGCTGCCTCTGCTGCGCTGTTCAGCTTCTGGTGTCCATTCCAAAGCTATTTCAAGTCCAGTTGTTATCTGTACTGATGGTGCTAAGTTCTGGCTGCCACCATCTGTTTCTTTCTCTTTATAAAGATGTTCAATGGTTTCCTTCACTGGTTTGTCCTCTGGCTCAACATCTTGACACAAAGCTATTCCCACTGTTTGCTATCAACCCACTCTCTTCCATTAGCAGGGATTCTGTAATCACGATAAGAGGCATTTCTAACCAGGATGTGAAAAGAAGGGAACTACCTAGGGCTCTGCAATCAGAGATTATATATAACCTTCCCTCCCACTTACCCTCATCCTTCCTCACACTATGGGCATTGCTCAATTCTTCTCCAGCTCCTGTCTTTCTTCCTCCCTTCCCACTGCGTGTCCACTTCCTTTAGCTACACACTTTGCAACATCTATATTCACTACAGTTGCAGCTCTCATAGGGAGAAGACCACGTGGATATGAGTTTCTTTTGTACTTTTAACACATTCTTGTCAGGTGTACATCAAGCAGCACGCTACAAGATGCCCCATGCATCTAAAATTGTAGCAAAATACACAGTAAGGCATATACCCAAATATGAGAGTTATCCATTCTGTATGGCAATTCAAGGAAAATGAAGAAAGTTACAACGTTGCATTTAAAAACATAACGCTGGGATTTCCAGCTATTCAGATGCTCACTGAAGTCTAGAAATTCTATGCACTTTTTGCACACGGTATAGAAAAAGATGGCATTTAAATCCTAGATTTTAAAAGTCCAGCTTGCAAAGCTACACACCTGGAATAAGTACTTTGCCTATAAGACTGTGTAAACACGTTTAATACTGGTTTTCTTTCCAAACAAGAATTAATATTTTTTCATAAAGCAAAATAAGATGACCATTTAGAGCTGTGTTTGGAATGCCACAAACAAATCCAATCAGGATTCTGCTTGTGTCACTCATCCCCAAGTGTTTTGCAGTTTTCCCTCCCAAACCCCCAACTTGCTCTGTTTCTTTTCAGACTTCTAATCCAGGAATCAAACAAATCCAAAAAAAGAACCCTATCTGCCTTCCTCAAATAAGGAATAGCTAAATAGTGCTATTGGCAAGAACAAATAAATAAGTACGACAGTTGCAACATGTTAATTAACTGTCTAGAAGAGTGGGATTTTAATTACTTGTGTGCAATATATTCACAGAATAAAACTCTGTGGCACAGAAAACAGCTAAGCCTGTGAAATGAAAAATACCTTACCTGCTCTTCACCTTTGATAACGATGTTATCAAGGCTGCTTTACTGTTTAGAGAGGCACATTACTTTTTTTCCTCATAGCTCGCTCTCTCTCAGGATTGATTCTAAGCAAGAATTGCTCCTAGATCCTATCAGCCTATGCCAAGGAAAGCGTCTAGCAGAGGTTGGGAATAGAAAGAAGAGTTCACTTGTCTGTGGCTGCTGCCTTTCTTCACTCTTCCTTTCTTCTGGAAAGAGTTGGAATGATGCTCTTTATGCAACCACAGGTGGGGTGGAATAAAGAGGAAAAACCGGGCCAAATCTGGACTTGGGAAACTACTGCAGCAGAGCTTTTGTCTGTCATTTTTAATACCTGTCCTTTCTTTAGCTTTCCCTAGATTTCAACATGTATAATTATAGTCAACAGTAGCAGGCAGTGGGTTGGTTCTTTTAGGAACTGCACCCTCAAGAGGCAGGAGGTAAGTTATAGAAAAACCTGTTATCCAGTACTTCTTAGGAAAATTTGAAGCAAAGGAAATTCCAGAGAGACTCAAAGTGAGGTAAAACATAACCACGTAACAGTTCTAAAAACCAGCGGGAACCACTTACAGCTAGCTGCATAAGCTGCATTCTTATTGACCTGCGTTCAGCAGCTCTCAGCTGTAAGTCCCAGGGCTACCGAATAACCTTACAAACACAGCTACAAACCTCCCAGCGAGCAGCAACAGCCCACTTTCTCCGGTACCCCCAAATAACCTCGCTGATGTTCAGATAAATCCTGGTGCTTGGAAGTCATATTGCCAGAAACATTTACAAACCATGTCACGGTCGCACAACCTCCACCACCACCTACCTGCGACGCTCCCCCACACCTCAGCAGGCTCCTTCGCCAGGATGCTGCCCGGGGAAGGACTGCCCTCGGATACAGCTTGCAGCTATCAATTAGTATCAATTTGTGGTGGCCAGGGCTCCCACTTACCCAGTTTGGCGGCCCCCTCTGGTGGGTACTCAGGGAATTGGCCCTCGGAGGGGACGCTCACCGTCCGGCGCAGGCAGCGCCCTTTGGTAGCATCCACCTGCGGCTCCTGGACCCCATCGATAGGCACCTGCATTCAAAAAAAAAAAAAAAAAAAGATGCTGAGAGCTGTTAATGTGCCACTGGGCCATGTTGGTAATATGCCATCTTGATAAGAATTTCATTTTTCACTCATCTGGTAATAACTTTCAGATGCAGTTCGGCGTGCCTGGCCTTACCACAAAATTTCCTGAGGCTTACCGGGAAAGCACCGCAGCGGTGAGGAGCGTTAAGAGCAGGCGCAGCCCGGAGAGGGCTGCACACAGGTGTGCAGCAACCTCCGCTCCAGAGCTATCAAGTCACAACACAGCCGACCCATCTGACTAACAAGGCAGGCCTGCCTTTCGAAACTAGTTCTCCAATGCTGGACCCATTGCTACCCAGCCTCGCCCGCTTCCACGCTGGGAAAGTCAGGCAGAGGCTGCTGGTCAGATGGCTACGTGTGAAACTTTGAGATTACAAAAGCATTTCTGCGGTCTCTGCACATATTCAGTGATCGGCTACAGCACGCCAGAGAAAAATGGACATTCTGCTGGTCGCATTGGGCACACAGAGAAAGGGGATATCTTCTATGATTAAGTCAAACTCCTAAAAGCAGGACCCTCAGAAGGCTCTAAGAAAGGCTTGAGGTTCTCATTATTTCATAGTAATAAAATTCTGCAGGCTAATTCTCTTTAAAAGTACCAAATGTATAAAGATCATGTTTCTCTTCCGAAATTTTGGCAGAACTTGACTCCTCAGGGTTTGCTCCCCCCCCAAGCCTTACCTTTAAACACTGCCTGGATGACTACATTTTGCTAGAGAGGTGCTTATGCTGGGAAAAAAGTGGTAAATCATGTTACCTATCACTACAGCTGCAGGGTGTTTAGACAACAGCCACGAGCTCTAAAAGAGCCTAAGCGATACAGTCTCTTTGTCCAACAGCACGTATATCTGGGAACAAGAAATGAGCCTGATGTACCCCTAATCCAATCCCAAAAAACATACAAAGGGATGTGGAGGATAAGGAAGAGAGCCCAACTACTTTATGAATTTATATGGACACTTTTGTGCATCCTGATTTGGTTTACATGACTAACACAGGTTAATTCAAGCATCAGTTACTCTGCATATAGAAAGGCACACAGACAAAAACTTCAGAGCGCTACCTGCTCGCCAGAGCTGCAATCCAGATCGCCCAAGCATGCAGAAACCACCCTTCGAAAAGGAGCAAGACATTCCTTCCAGCAGAAGACTGACGTCCTTCATTCTACTTATCTGAGGAATATATACGTTGCTCTGAAGAGGTTCAAAAGACAAAAGATAGCAAAGATCCTTCAAGCTGCTGAAAGGCTCATCACCGAAGATGGAGGCTGCATGGGCAGGTAACCACTGTTTCCTCAGCCGAGTTACCATCAGTGGGGGGGCACCTGGGGCCACTACTGCCTTATACACTATTTCTGGGCCCCATGCACCCCAACTAGCTGGCACAGAGAGGGGCCAGAGGTGGGATGTGATGGCTGATTAACAAGTCCAGATGCTGCTTCCATGTCTCAACAAGCAGATACCCCAGTTGGGGAACTGGGAATTCCCTGAGCCTGTTGGCTGCTCCGAGTTGATTGTCCGAGGAAGCCGTGCCCTGCTTCCTGCTGGTCTGCCTGAGCATCATGGTTAGAACCATGGCTTTGCAGGTCTTTGCATGCTCAGATGTTAAGTTTAGCTCAGTATTGGTGAATTACTGGATTTGCTGTCATTTTGACCTGGATAATTGTGCTACTGAGTTACTGCATTTCTTGTTGTAACAACCCGGATAACTGTACTCCTGATCTGTATTTGTCACTGCAACGTTATTTAGAGATAAATTGTTTATCCCTAAAGCTGTTGGTCTGGTGTCTGTTACCACATCTGGAACCCGTAACTTAGTGGGGCCACCTCAAGCCCTTATATTCAACAGTTGGAAGAAACCCCGGGGATGAGGGACAGATGCAGCATCCCGTGGCTGGGGGCAGGCACAACCCCTCAGTGCCCAAAACATCTCAGCACACTTTTGATGAGGACATTGGCTTCAACAGTACAACTGCGATACATGAAATGTGGCAATTTATTTTCATATAGCTACATAAAAGACAGCTTGCACCTAAAGGAATAGAAGACCCTGTCATGTTTCCTGTGCTGCTTACACTTTCATATCTTCAATCATATCCAAAAGCTGAGTATTAATAGCAAACAAAAAGATACTATTCATTTGTACTGAAGGTTGTAAAAGATATGCAAGATACTGTACTATTTTAGAAACAGGCTGCACTACAATGGCTCTCACAAACTAGTTCTGGCATTTCCTGACTTTTAAGCACTTAGCATTCTCTTAAGGTCAGTTTTTAATGCTATTTATTACTACGCTAGTCTATTTGTCTCCTTCCAAGAGTGCTCATTTTTCAAAATAAGTTTCCCAAATCCCTCGTGGTTATTCTGTTAAGGCTACTTTCTTTGCTGGTAGATTTTTATAGCAGCTCCTTTGCCAAATGATCTCCGTGAGAGAGCACGTTAGGAAGTTAAGCAGAGACTAACTGTGTTAGTTTATGCCATCGAATCATTCAATCAAGTTCACGTATTAGATTTTCAATTTTTATCTGGAGGCTCCGTTTAGTCTTACTTCTTTCTGAATGCTCTTCTGCTCCACCACCTCTTCTGCCTGTCCTGATCTCCTTCAGATAATTTTTTGGTGGGATGCTGCCAGCTGTATTTCCAGAACAAGCTATTACCAGTCATACCACACGCCTGCTTCAGGACACCTTAAAAGCACCAAGCTAACACCCTGTAATCCTCCTTTCTCAATGAACTCATTGCACCTACACCTAACTGCTAGCTCTATACCAATACAGCTCATGAGGGGTAGATTTCTCCACTATTAGATTTTTTTTAACTGAGAATGAATATAGTCCCTTTTCTTTCAAGTATATCTCTTCAGTGTCTGTGTGTGCTTTTGGACATGGGATGACAGAAACATTCTTTTAATCCACTGACACAAAAAAAAGCACTACTACCACCCTGATAACAGTGGATATAACAACAGCGACAATAGCCGAGAGGACGCTATGGATGTACCGACTTGCTGCCAAGGGTGAGGAGGAGAACGGTGATTGAGGCCACGCTGTCCTTTGTGTCCTTGGGAAAAGCAAACAGGCTGCAGCACACCGGAGTCGGTGTCAAAAACAAATCTACTTCTGCATTCCAGAGATAGGATTTATCTTCAAAGAGGAACTCAGCCATCAACAGGAAGACTGTTTGAGAGCTCGGGTCCTAATTCTGGGTCACTTAGCCTTTTGTACTTAACGTTTGCCCAGACTAGGAACACATGGTTAGCCTGCACGCTAAAAAAGGTTCATTGGTGTAGCTGCGTTCATCTCGTGCAGTACAGCCCACACCAGCAAAACCCCTGCTTTTGTTAGCGTATTTACGGTGGCTTGAGAAAAACCTGATGCTATAAATTATTCTATAAACTGTATAAGGAACAACACGTTAATGCTACACAGCTTGATCTACACCAGAGAATATGCAAACATCCCACAATTTCATGGACAAGATTAAAGCAGCAAAGTAGCTAAAAAAGATCCCCCCTTAAGTCTGACTTAAAAGTGCTGTGTTATTTTAAGTAACACTCCTCCAATACCATAGTCTCAGTCTATACTGACAAAAAACAACTAACTCCAAGACTGCAGGACCAGTATTTATTGCCTAGCATAAGATCAGCCAGCTCTTAAAAATACAGCTTCATGCAAAATGAGCTTGGTCAGCAGCTCTGCATCTCCTAGGGCTGGACATGTTTTTAAACAGGTATATAAACTGCTCTGTGGGAGCTCAAATGGATTCACAGATCGGGTACCACCGAAACACAAGCAAGCGCACAACTAAATACCATGTAAACACCAAGCCAGGCAACTGCAATCTTCCTGACCCTCCTCCTGCCCCTGTCATTCCAGCAAGCAGTTCAGCAAAGGATCGAAGAGAATGACAAAGTCCTGCAGAATCAGGACTCTAATGGCAATTTAGGCTTTCAGCTCTTCTTTTTTCCACCCAGCTTTGTTATCCTGTTCTTTGCCCTGCTGAGACTTCACCAACCTGGGAATTGTCCGACCCTGAGCTGACACACGCTGAAGCTGCTGGTTCAGGGCTGGACTCCGAGCTGCGTAACTCTGGGACAAGAAGGTACGTAGGGACAGTCCAAACGCTGGTAACTCTGGTAATCTCGACCATTTTGATTATAGGCCACGTTTCACTGGCAAATTTCACAATTTAACAAGAATGGGTTCAGAGCTCAGACTCTAAACTCTCGAACAGCATCACAACTCATCTACCACTGAACATGCTTTTTAAGTATAAAAAGCCTATATTTGGGATTTCTAGTAGCTTGATGATGAAGAGATTTCAGAAGAAAGAGGAGTAAGAGCTTTACAAGCATTTAATGCCTCTTAAAGACAGGAAAAAATGTTTCTTCATTGCAGACAGATTTTTCAAGTCTTTGGAAAGACTGGTTCAAGACAAAAACTTGAGAACTTGCAACCTCTTCTGAACTAATAGTCAGGAAGTTCGGAATCATGTCAACAAAACAGTTAAATAATTAATTGTAATTTTTACCTTCCTTCAGAAAGTATTAAGCTGGCTAAAATTTTGACATAGAAATCCGCTTTAAAAATGTTGAGAGCAAACATTTCTTTGGGCTTTTGGAAAACAAATAATTAAATTCATTTGAGAATTGAAGCAAATCTTTTCTTACAGCTGCGTTCAGCTTTGTCAAACTCCTATTTACAGGTAAAACATATTTGCTGTAAGATAACCAATGTGACAAGTCTTTTGAGAATGACAGTGGGCATTTCTGAAGAAGCTCCCTTGGGGCCCCAGGCATCAGTGTTTGCTCTTGCTGTTTTCTCTTGGGAAAACCACTGTCGCTCCACTACTAGCGTCAGTCACAGGAGATGGAAGAGTAGGAAAATACATCAGCGATGTCCTGCTGCTGGCCTCTGTCACCAGCACCAATAAGTAGTCGATCTTGTCACAGTGAATGCAGGTCTTCACTATCCTCTGCCCTTGATTAAAAACACCTCTAAATGCAAAAAGAAAGATGAGGTTTTGGGTGCAGGGAGGAAAAAGGAAGAGGCTAACACAGTGAAAAGTGTTGTTCATCTTCATTTCCAACTGAACATAAAATTAAAAGGTTTTGCAGGACAGCAGCCAAGTTACAGACAAAGACTAACTAAAAAGCAGCCCAAAACCAGATGCAGCTGTTTGTCAATATCCCTCATGAAAGTGCTGTGCAATGGATTATCTATCCGAAACCGCTCT